TATCAATCTTGTTAGTGAATATAAATTTCTTTTCTAAATCTCACCATTATAAACCTCTAGGGACTATCGTAAATTTTTTTTCCGCAAATTTTTCTTTTTTCTCGATACTTTTTTCATCGAGTGTCTTCTAAATAAATAGTTTTTATATCTGCTATTCGAGACATAAAACCAAATCGTTTCTTGGAAATACCCATTTCACATCTTATTTAGGGTTTCATAGGGTGTCATGTTATCTTAATTGCTTCATAAATATAACATTATTGGATACCTTTCGTATTCTTAGAAATTGGTACTAAAAAATATTTCCTTCATTTATCAGACATCTTTATTGATTCTCAAAATCTTATTCCGAGGCTGTCAATAGATTGACCGTACATGGAGTATCAGCTCCTAGCTTGCATTCTGGGTCTTGATGTATACTTGAAAACACTTTGTATTTTGTAGCATGACAAGTTTAGTGAAGATCAGCTTCAGAATTCAATTTAGAGTATGACATGCTCTTGTAATAACATACTTTCTTGTTTGACAGACTAATAATGATTGGCTGCTTCAGAATTTATTAATTGTATATATAATTTAGCGTATAACATCATTGTGTAGATAGACTAATAATGATTGGCTGCTTCAGAATTTATTAATTGTATATATAATTTAGCGTATAACATCATTGTGTAGATAGACTAACAATGATTGGCTGCTTCAGAATTTATTAATTGATGGTATTATCATGCTTTCTTCAGTTTGTTAGCCAGTTACTTCATTGTCCATACTTGTTGCTTCGAAAGAGTTTGCGTCCTAGCCATCAGCTTTCTTTATTGTTGTGCTAAACCTAGATAGCTTATTATGGTGAGCTCAACCGACCAAACATGCAAATGCCTGTGCAGGTGCTCGAGGCGAAGAGGAAAGAGAGGGCCAAGGTGGCTTATGAGAGGAGAAAGCAGCTCACAAAGCTTAGGTTGAAGGCAGAGAAGACTGCCGAGGAGAAGCTCGGCCCGCAGCTTGACATCCTTGCGCCACTGAAGTACTGAGTTGATTACATCCCTTTTTCCATAAACATCAGCAGCCTTTCTGTCATTTTTATTTGGTCAGACTAAAGCTTATCCTGGTTTGGTTGTGTAATCTGCAACATCAGATTTCTTAAAATTACGCACTATTTTGGACAGGAATTAGGTCTCACACATAACCGTCCTCTGAGGTCTAATGCTTTGCAGGAACACGGTTAAAATCCATCGTAGTATGTTCTGCTGTGCTTAATGTTCATCTGGAAACATTGGAAGCTTATCTCTTTGTGCGGGTTTCCCAAATTTTAGCTATTTCTCTTGTTATTAAGCTATGCAATATTTGCATTCCAAGCGGATTTCTTCATTTCAAGGGAAAGCTTTTAATGCTTAGATTAATACAAATGACATACATGACGAAGTCTTTTCTTTAATCTAATGATGGAGTTGTTGTTAGTGACTGGTTTTGTATATACACACATTCTTTGGTAAAATGTGTCGGTCTCACTTCACCAAATGGAGATACCTCTGGCCAGATCACGTGAACCATGGTATGCCTGCCACGTGGACATCGACATTGATACTTCAATCGTTGACGTAAGTCTAAATTGACAACACTCGAATAGGGTCCATTGACCCGATTTGACTCCCGCTAGTAGCATCCACCCCGCGTCTAAGATTGCTCGACGAACCCCGAGAGAGAGAGAGAGAGAAGACGAGGAGAAGGACGCAGCATAAAAAGAATCCCAAGTGAAGCAGCAAGCAGCGACTAACACGCACGCTACGAAGGCAGCTCTCTTCCTTTCTTGCCCTTCAAGAGATTGCAAGGGCGAGAGGAGACCGAAGAGCGCGACCGATGGGATTGGACTACTACAAGACGCTGGGAGTCGACCGCAATGCCTCCGACGACGACCTCAAGAAGGCCTACCGCAAGCTCGCCATGCGATGGCACCCCGACAAGAACCCCGACAACAAGAAGGACGCCGAAGCCAAGTTCAAGCAGATCTCTGAAGCCTATGATGTATGTGTGATTCTTGGTTCTCACCCCCGCCCTTACGCCTTTCCGTTTATTTTCCGCTTTGCAAACCCCAAAACCCTAAAGGCGCGATCGTTCTTCCCAAATCTTTCTTTAGGTGCTGAGCGATCCTCAGAAGAGGGCAATTTACGACCAGCACGGGGAGGAAGGGCTCAAGGGCCAAGTCCCGCCTCCCGGCGCTGGGCCCTCCGAGTTCTTTGGCGGTGCTGCCGGCACCAAGTTCAGGTTTAACCCCAGGAGCGCTGACGAGATCTTCTCCGAGTTCTTCGGCGGCTCTAGCCCTTTTGGCGGAGGCAGCAGCGGCGCCAAGTTTGCAGATGTCTTTGCTGCATTTGGGAGCGGGCGCAGCGGAGAAGCCTCTGCGAGTGCTCTGAGGAAGGCGCCCGCGATAGAGAGGGTTTTGGTTTGCAGCCTCGAGGATCTGTACAAGGGGGCCACCAAGAAGATGAAGATCTCGAGGGATGTTATTGACGCTAGTGGGTTAGTTGTTTGAATTCTTGACTAGAAATCTTGACCTTTGAGTTTAGTGTGCTCCAATAAAACATGACAGCAAATTATTATTGTTTTCTTTCTAAAAGACCCCTCTTATTTACAAGCTTGCCATGTCTAGGGCTCAGATTTGGACTTGCATGCTTTTGCTTTTTCATGATTCTGTTTGTTTGGGATCTTATGCAACTATACTAGTTAAATTGAAAATTCTTAGAACCATTGGAATATCATATGCTCTCTTATCCGTTAACACTATTCCCACCTGCCTATGGTGATATTGCCTAAACCGAAATAGATGTTCATATTCATTTTGGTGAATATAGATTTAAATTCAAACCGTAAGTATGACCAGTGTTTTTGTATATTTTATCTGTTTGGGGCTTTTCTGCATAAATCACCGCATGATAGTATCAGATTTTTGACTCAGATTGTGTAGCTCATAAAGAGGAATATTGACATGAACTTTGACTTAAAAAGTTATACCTGTTAATTCAGCAAAGAAGATTCTCATCATGCCACATGGCCTCAAAATCAGTAATCTGTTATGATGTAGCTACATAAATAATCTAATAATATATGTTGCAGTGACTTGCACTTTAATTTACATACAACCTAATGATAAAATGAGCTGCATAAGGTCACCATAATCTTATGTTCCCTCAGGGCAGATCAATCTAATTTTCTTGTCTTGTTTGGACAACTCATGTGTGTTGACAGGTAGGGATGTGACATATTTTCTTTCATTGTTTAGTATTTATGGTTTCTGAAATAGGCTTTTGTAACTTGGGTGGCTCTTGTCCACATCATGTTTGTACTCATTTTCCATCTTAGTTGAACTTTATTCATCAGCTTCATGCATGGCTGTAGCCCTATTGGCAACCATGTAAACTTTTGTGTTCATGTGTGGTTCTCTTTTTGTCTCCTTTGTTCTTCCTGTATTTTTCCAATGAGTCCCTTGTTATTAAATTCCAGATCACATGTTAGGTCTTTTGATAGTCAGAGTTGGTATTGCTTATAAGACATAAGATTGGAATTGGTTGGATATGAGTATAAAACTAATTCTATAACTGGCAAGGATATGCACACGGCTTCTTTCTCTCTCTCTTTATTCAGTTTCTTCCACTTGAAAAAAGATGAAGATCATGTGATATGCACTAGCTTTAACGTTGATGGTGTCTGCTTTTGTCTAGAAGAGGCCCAATATTTTTTTTCCTTTTAATTGCCTAATTTTTCTCCTTTTTTCTGTATTTGGTGGCATACTTGTGGTTATGCAATTTAAATTCACTTGTTAAACTTTCCGCTTTCAGTTTTCTTCTTTATCTTGTAAGGTCTAATGTGTCAGTTAAACATGAATGAGTGAAATATAACTTAGATCATATTGTCATGTCTTAAGCAAACTTCTCCCTTAATGAGGGTTTGGATCCCCTCACTAATTGACCTGGTTACACAACTTGGATTTGATGCAACTGTTTTTCTTTGATCATACTTGTTATTGTTTGTTGGATTGAAGGATTTAAATCGTGATCTGATATCGATTTCAGTGAACTATAGGATTGATATTGTAATAAAAGAATAATGCCGACTAATATTGTTGGGTTTGGTCTTCTTCTTTGGTGCATAACCCATCCACATTTCACTCCATGTGCCTACACTATGCTGTTGAAAACATGCATATGAATACAGACGAAAAATAGGTCGTTCTGTCACGAACGGTTGTCGCGCACTCGCAATAACTTCGTTCAACGATCCGTTTGTCGCTTTTGCATGCTTGTACAGTGGCATGACAGCATGTTTTGCCTTGGTTTTGTGTGTTTTTGTTTGGAAAATGTAAGCAATGACAGTTCGCAGCGTTGCAATATGACCGCTCGTCGCGCCGGGCCGAACTGCCCCAAAATGGCTTCGTTTTTGTGTGTCACGGCTTGTTTTTTGCACGCCGCAGTTGCATGCAAAATGTTAGCCATCTCAGCACCCTGGAACCTCCCGGGTGACACAGGGCTGGATGGGGCTTCGGTATATTGTCGAGCGTTAAACAATCTTCACAAGTTCGCACATTAACTTGACGGGAACTTGCCTTTGCGCCCGACACTCGGTGAGCAATTGTTTGTGGAATTCCAACTGTTCGTTCCACATTCTAAAGTCCTTGTTTTTTCCTTCCTTTCTTTTCTCTCTTGCACTCGAGGTGCTTGTTGAATTGCTTGTAAAGCTTTCATTTTCGTGAGACGTCGGGACTTGTCCGTCGCTCGTTTTCAATCTAATCAACGTTCTATTTTACATGTCTTTCGGGACCTGTACGAGGTTGCAACTAGGTTAAACTTTTGCGGATGCATATGTCGCGAGGGCGCCTTATGACTTAGGCAATCCCAGCTAAGTCCGAGGAATTGGCTCAAGGGTGCTTCACGAATTAGGCAACTTCAGCTAAGTTCGTGACTTTGCCGCAAGGGTGCCGCATGACTTAGGCAATTCCAGCTAAGTCTGTGACAGTTCGGCTACAAGGAGTTGAGCTAAGTGCAGCCCAAATTTGCATCTGAACAATCCTTCAATGGAACTTTGCTGGCAATACTTTCTAGCACTTGTTTCCTTCCTGTGTGGCACACCAAATATGAAATATAAATTTTCATGAACATCTCAATAAGCGAAATTTGTTTGTGCAAGAAGTTCTTTAAGTTCCACTGACAGTGTCAGCCTGTTGGACATTGTTCTTAATTCTGTTCTTCAGACAATCAGAATTCAGCTTACTTAATATCCTAGTTAAAATCTTTTACTTAGTTAAAATCAGTGCTAAATATAACCAGTATGCAAAATTTCAGTATACAAAACTGCTTTTTTTTTTTTTGATACAACTGCAGTTACATAGCAGCTTCTTGCATACATGAAAAATCATGCCATATACAAGATGATTCTGTTGGATATCAGCTGAGAGCTGGTTCATTATTCATTACATTGTTTCAATATCCTGCATTATGTATATATAGCATGATAGTGAATACCAAACTTTTCCAATTTGGATAAATTGAGGATGTAGTTTTAATTGCATGATGCTGTATGATCATATCGGCAACTGAAGTTTCTTCTAGTTTACTTACTTCTCTTTGTTGTCAGAGAAAGAAATCATACTAAAGAGCAATTGCATAGCTGAAATCAATTCTAAATGATTATTTTATTGTGGATGTTCTTTTCTTTCTGCTTGATCATTCAGCATCAATGAGCTAAATTTAAGAAAAGTACACAAATACATGCAGGCAGTATTACTGATTTATTTTAATTTGATTCTGCTTAATTTTTTCCCATGCCTCTTTAACATAAAATTTTCTTGTCTTCTCACTTGTGATTCAATAGTTGACCCATTTGTTTTTGTATATTTTGTAGGAAACCAACTACTATAGAGGAAATATTGACGATCAATATCAGGCCTGGTTGGAAGAAGGGCACAAAAATCACATTCCCAGAGAAGGGCAATGAACACCGAAACTTGATTCCTTCAGATCTGATCTTTATCATTGATGAAAGGCCACATGGTGTCTTTAAGAGAGATGGAAATGATTTGTTCGTCAGCCAAAAAATCTCTCTTGTTGAAGCCCTCACAGGTTATACTGTACAGCTCACAACTCTAGATGGTCGGAATCTTACTATTCCTATCAATTCGATAATCAGCCCCACCCATGAGGAAGTTGTTCAGGGAGAAGGGATGCCAATCACAAGGGAAGCACCTAAGAAGGGTAACTTAAGGATTAGATTTCAAATTAAGTTTCCCACTAGACTTACACCTGAACAGAAGGCTGGCATCAAGCAACTGTTGGCTCCTTCCTGATTGGCCGGCATATACCTTTATGACACTGAATGTATATTACTTAATGCCCCACATCGTGGTTTTTGGAAGATCAAGAATTTAAGATGGACTGTAATTTTCTTTTTTTTGTTTTTTCGAAGTAACTTTATGAGACTCTTTTCTAGTTTGCTTAATGACGTAGGTCAAGTTAATTTGCTGATTGTAAAGATGTTTGGTCTATCTCTGCGTGTGTGTCAATTGAGTTATATCTTTGTCCTTTGTGATTCTATTGGACTACAAATGAGCATGTTTTTGCTTAGAAGACTCCAGTCTAGATTGTTGACCCAAATGGTGTGCTAGTATATGCAAGCTGTGGTATCAGTGTTATTTAGCATCAAGTTATCTTCAAATATTAAAAAAAAGGGGATTTTTTCATTGTTTTCTGTTTCTCTTAATTTCTGGTTTTGGAAACAGAAAGAGGTTCAGTGGAGAAGACTGAAATGGAGAAAAGCGATGGGGGATGTTGAGGCTCACAAAGTTTTTCTGTGATGCCAGGAAAATATACAAACAAATTGAACAAATTTGTTGAACAGAACGGAAACATCATGTTATGTGATATGTTGCATCTTGATTGTTGCCTTTTTCCATGTTGTTACTTCGCTTGTTGTTTGTAAAATAGTCGATCTTGATCTGGTAGTCTACATAGTAGATAACAATTCCATAAGGATTTCAATCTAATGGTCTTTTGTTGTTCATTTAGCTGTAACTGAACTAAGGATTTCTTTGTTTATAATGACTTTCTTCAACATATTGTTTTAGGAGAGTTGTGTTGTTGCTAATTGAGCTGAATGCTGGAGCTGCATCTATCAAGTTTGTTAATCAAGGAAGAATTTAAATAGCACATTGCGGCGTGGCTAAAATAGACAGGTGAATTCCTCTACTTCTTCATTTTGTTAGAAACCAGTTATTTCATAATCAGATTCAGTAATGTAAGTACAAATTGATCTCATGATATTTCAAATTTTTGATTGCATGCAGTTATATTGTGGTCAGATTCAATAGCATAGCAAGAACAGGTGATCTCTGGATATTCCCCTTGGAAATTTCTTCTTTAAGGATATTATGCATATTAGCATTAGATGATATCTCTTAAAGAATGTTAACTTGACACCAACATTTATCAGCAGGTTTGATTCGAATAGCAATTACATGCACATTAGATAACACATTCCACTTGCTATTCTTCATATATGGATTAGATGACAAGAGTATTACATTTTTATTCAGACATGCAATAAGATGTTTACACATTAGTTGTGTAAGACCAAGTTATATATGTTTCCTGGAACAAGAAGAATCAGATTATCTGAGTCATGTACAAAAAGGTTGGTTGGATTGATTATTTATTAACCTCATATATTTCTTAAATTTATGTGCATTTTTTACTAAAATTGTGAGGGTCACATCAAATTTAAGATGGGATTTGCCTAGTAGTGACTTCCAAAGGAACATTCACTTCATTTGAATAGGTTTCTAAGTCTATAAATTATGTCATTCTCAGATCTTCATGACTAAATATGCACTACCACACATGCTTTTTTTTTTTTTTGGTAAATCGTTTTCTATTCTTTTAATAATCTTTCATAGATTTCAGCATCAGGTGTGAACACTTGACTTGCACTTCATCTCATAATAATGCAGCAACTAATAGACTAGATTAACTTTTCATCATGTCACCTGTCAGAAGTGTCTGGTTCTATCGAATTTGCTTATTTGAATGCTCAAATATGTTTTAAAGAGAAAAGCTTTGCCTCCAAACCATAAAATTAATCAAGTAAAAAAAAATCCTAGAACATCATTATTCAACAATAAAATTAGTGTACTATATTTATTGTCCATGCAAGGTTATTTTCCAACATTACATTGTTTCTCCCATGGTGGCTTCATACATATGTTGAATGTATCTTTTTTGCTTATTGCATCCTAAATGTAACCTCTCTGTGATGTTAGGCAAGGTTCAAAGTTCTCCATCATTCACTCAGTCATCATAACAATTCCAAGGCACATGCGTCGATGACCAGCATAACTCTAGCTAGCGTTGATCACACTGGTTGGAGTGGAAGAATGTTTTACATGAGCTTAATCTTCTCTATTTTTCGTCGACAAGTAATCAGTCATTTGTCAGTGAGACTAAAATATGACCTGCAGTAATATGCTGATTTGAGGCTGTTTTGGTCGTTTGTCTTCTCAGGTTGAGGTGTCTGTGAAGCCCATCCTCCATTGCTGCAAAGAGAAATGAAGTCTGATGCTGATCCTGCAAACGAGGGTTTATGACTATTCACTGCATCAAGAAGATGGTACGTGGCAAAGGTGATGTTGCATGACCAATGAGTAGCTTTAATACTTTTGTGTTTCCTTGATTAAAAAATCTGTAGTACAAGATAAAAACACATCATGTTGATACCCATAATGACCAAGAAAATTAAATGACAGGCAAAACTGCACTGGGCTTTAAAGAACACATCATCATCACATGACCTCACTGCACATTTTCTAGTCTTATAATGGCACATGCTTGGATGTGTCCACTAACCAACTTGTTTACACTTGCTATCTTTTTCCAAACTTTCTTTGCTATGTTTCCACACAGGCACTTATGGAGTATTTATAAGCTCACGTTTTAGAAATCACAAAAACAATAGTGTCTGAAACCTTCTTATTTTGACTTTGAACAGATTTAGTCTCAGAAGATGCAAATTATCTTTGGCATGTGCAAGAACTTTATGACTTGTTCATAACTGGACAATAAAGTTCTTTTGTCATGATCTGTCCTAATGGGATAAGAGATCCATTTAAGTTTTTAGATCAATGGTTCAGTGCAAATACACTCACTTTAGTTTTTAGAGTGTGAAAACGATGCATAGAGCTATAGAAAATGGATAAGAGTGTGAAAAAGAATCACAAAGTGGTTTAAGGTGTGGAGAAATCTGTGGCCCCTTTGAACTTCTTTTCTTCTCGAGCGTGATAGATAAATAATGCTGCTTCTTTTACAATTGCATGAAGTGAGTGGCTTGTGATCATATGAATGATATGACTATAAGATTGGTTCAATGATATCTTTTGGAAAAATAGCTGTGTTGGCTTTATTATTATTATTATTATTATTATTATTATTATTATTATTATTATTATTATAAAGTATCATTGATACTTGGACACTCATTGGTGTCACTCGTTAGTGTCTGCCCCCCGTTGGGTCTTATTATACATTTTATATAGACTGATCATGATCGTGATATGATATTAGTCAAACTTCAATCTTTCAGGAGTTCCCTATCTTATATGGCACATGAATTATTTTTCCAACACAATCATGACAGCTATCAACAATCATTTGAACAAATTTTGATGATCGTTCTTAGTTAAACCTGAAACTAGCTTAACTTTACCTCAAGGTCATCTTCATGGTGAACATTTATGATTTTGATCATGTACATGCTTCTGTTTTGTATTTTTAATGCATTGTTTTGATCCCATCGCACTGATAATTCTATGGTCTTACATATACACATGCTCCTATGTTTTTCAGATATAATAAACTTATCATAGAAGAGTCATTTATGATTTTGGTCATGCACATGCTCTTATTTTTTGGATAGAAGATATCCGTCAGACTAATGTTTTGGATATAAGAAAAATTATCGGTTGAATTTTTAATTTTCGAATCATAGGTAAGTGAATTTGGTACACGCATGTGATTATTGCATGTGAAGACTCAGACCTCACTCTGCCATTATCGCCCAACTTGGCCTCAAAGAATAATATTGAAGGAACAATCACCACGAAGAGACAATAAGGAAATCATATTTGTAGAATAATCTGCTTGTCATCTTTTGGTTGCGTTTCCAATCTTCTGTTTACAAGCGAGTTGCGGCGGCTATCAAGCCGTCGAACGCCCTCCATCATTCTGGTTCAGGAAGCAAAGAACGATCGAGATACAATGAAAGATGATGGATACATACAAGGCACAAGAGAGAGAGAGAGAGAGAGAG